TTTCCTGTTGTGGCAGATGTGTGTTCAGGGACGGTGGGTGCATAGAGGCGACCGCAGCAGAATAGTGAGCGAATCCCCTGGTCTTCACTTTCATCCGCTACACCCACCCCCTCCCTCAAGGTCCTTACTTTCGCGATTTATTTCGGAATACCTGCGAACTGGTCACTTTCGGGTTGACTGCAAGGTGATTGCCGTTTGCCTAGAGGGTCAGTTCAGCTTGCTCTGGCCCTGCGTGTGTTTAACGTGCAAAGAAATTTGGATTAGACCAGGACGCGCTTTTAGAAGAAAAGTTTCAGTATAAAACAATTAATGTCAAATTACCAGGCTATCCTGCGTTTCCTCGAGAGTTTCATGCAATTTCGTGCGTTTCATTTTTAATCTTTATACTTTAGCTGCAGTTCAGCAGTTCATACTCATTCAGCATATTTTCATTCAGGATGTTTAAATGGAATTTGATACCGCATGGCGAACGGAATGAACAACCTCCGCATTTCAGGACTCACGTGATCCTTTAAGGTAATCAAAAAAAAAAAAATCGCTGTTTACATGGTAGACTCTTTTCCAAACTAGAGGTGTGAAAACACCCTGCTGAGAAGGTGGTGGTGGTGGTGGGGGGTCATAGTCCTTTAAAAAGGCACTTACATTGTGTTTCAATTTTGTACCAAATCGCAGTAGCTTTTGACATCTTTAATATAGAAACCATTTGTTTTTAAGTAAACCATCTGTTTGTGATGTTGCATCAACTTAAATTAGTGTCAAAAATCCCAGGAGTTTTTGTGTAAGGGCCAAAAACTGTCCCTTCATCAAGCCAAATCAAAGCAGTTTAATGGAGTGAATATAACAGAATAAAGAATAAATTATAATCCATGTGGAGTACACTGCAAATGTTTTATAGATCACCCAAATAAATTAAAACCTGTTCAAACAGACAAACTTTGGAATGATAAAGAACTTTGAGCAAAAATCCCCATAAACCCAATTAAAATACAAAAAAAACCACACATTGTCAATTTAGGGTCTGACGTGGAAACATGAACCGCATTCCTATGATACTCTCAAAACATGGAGCATCCAATGAGCTTGTAATCAGCTTTTTTTTATTAAAAAGCAATTACTTCAAGAAATGTAGCTTTCTAATACGGCATGCTTACTCACTACATGTCCTAAATCAGCAGGGAAAAAAGCGGGGGGATATGTCATCCAAATCTGAAAACAGCTGCAGCTTATACGGAATGTGATCAGCCATGAGCCAAGAAAGTGTACTGGGAAAACCAGACTATATATGGACATGCAGACAGCATCTAATCCTTATCAATGAGAGTTGGAGATTGTGAATAATATGCGCTGCCTTCGCAAAGACCTGCTCGGGGTGACGTAAATGCTCTTAAATGTGGAAAAGGGGGTTGAAACAGGGATTCAGGGGGGTTTTGGGAAGTAGGTTTGACTTCTTTTGACGTTAAAACATACTAAGATATTCTGGAAAACTGAGACCTGCAAAGGTCAAGAAACTCAGGAATGGGGAAAAAAAAAAAGTTTTCACTCAAAGTTAATCTCAATTGGAAAAATTAGCATTTAGCGCTACAAAATACTCAACACAGTAGACTAATCCATCAACCAACCAGTCTTATAAGAGATATCTCGTCTAACCAACAGCTAGATTAACGAGATCTGTAACAACTTTTCTTGTTAACCAACTTAAGCTTTCAAAATACATCGAGATCTTTTGTAAACTATAAAAAATGTGGGTCTGTTGTCAGGGTGCGAATTATGCATTGGCAATGGGGCGGGGGGTCGACTTTTTTGTTAAGTTATCATATTTATATGACATCAAATTTATTAAGACGCATTTAAGTTTTCAGTGTTTTGAGTGATATTTAATGTATTCTGACATACAGAAACTAGGGATGCTCAAAATAACCGATTAACTGTTAACCGAAAGGGTGCGATTTTATCCAATTAACAGTAGCATAATAAATTAAATGATAAAATTGTATTATTAAATATATATTTTTAAAGTCTGCCTGCATAGGGAGATGATCAACGAACGCACATTTTGCGTCGAGAGGGGCAATTTTTAAATGGTTTACTAATGGCCGCGAGTGTCTTATGCGGCTCACATTTTTTTCGTCAGTCGCGTCTTTTTCATTCTTCAACTATTCTACACATAAGCAGATGTGGGGGTGACGGCAGTGTTTATATTGGCAAGACGACTATGGAGAACTACGGAGAGACTAGTGGTGTTTCAAGTTATCCAGAGGTGTATGACTACAAATTTTGAATATCATTCATTCATTCATTTTCTTGTTGGCTCAGTTCCTTTATTAATCCGGGGTCGCCACAGCGGAATGAACCACCAGCTTATCCAGCAAGTTTTTACACAGCGGAAGCCCTTCCAGCCGCAACCCATCTCTGGGAAATTTTAAATATCATCATATTATTAAATATTACAATTATAATAACATCGGCAGCAACACTCCTACACAACACGCAGAAATTCCTTAATATTTTAGAGAAAGTAGTTCAAGTTTGCATTACCAAGGATTGATTTAATCCACGCCCGACCCACCTTAAATATCATGCGACCTATTTTTTGATTACCTGACCTGGATTAACGTGGTCTATAACCAAGATCCACGCATAACAGGGTTTTGTGCATCAGCAGATATGCAATGTCAAGAGAGTGATGCCACAAGGTCACGTGAACTGCACACACTTGATTATCCAGCCTAATGTATAAAGTCTGCCCACTGGCCTCTGTCCATCATAGCCTCCTAACCATGCCCATATTCAATTGGCTTCATCACTGTCTCCTCTCCACCAATCAGCTGGTGTGTGGTGTGCGGTCTGGAGCAAAATGGCTGCCGTCGCGTCATCCAGGTGGATGCTGCACACTGGTGGTGAATGAGGAGACAACCCCCCCATTGTGTAAAGTGCTTTGAGTGCCCAGAAAAGCGCTTTATAAATGTAAGGAATTATTATTATTATTATTAAAGTCGTGGACGTGTGCTCAACTCAAAGCAAAACTTATCTTTTAAATGTCTATGCTTAATCTGTCATCAATAAGGTCTATTGATTAAAAGCTTATTGACAATTAATCGATCGTCAAGTAATTGTTAACATTCCTACAACCAACGTAGCTTTAAAGCACATGCTTTCTGCTCAAGTGAACACTGCAAAGAAAAATAGTCTAGTCCACACCATTTGTTGGGTCTTGTTTCTGAATATTTGAAAGATGATTAGACAACTTACTTCTACTATTTTTTGAAACTTTTAAAACATTACTCTAATACCTACACCTACAATCGTGAACCCAACAAATGTCCATCAAGAAAAACACAACCCTAAAGTAAGGTCATTGTAATCAGGCTCACTCAAAACCCTCTAGGCATCTGATCCCTTGAAAACTTCCTAGAGAAATGCATTTATTCCATGCAACTTGTTGCCTCGTGTCATCAATATCTTCAGATCATGTACCAAATTTCTAAGTTTCATGTATTTTCTCCCAACTATTTTATAACCTACATTTGTGAACACAACAAATGACCACCAAGAAAAAAATCTTCTAAAAAACACAACCCTAAAGTAGAGCTGCACGATTCTGGCTAAAATGAGAATCGCGATTTTTTTGCTTAAAATAAAGATCACGATTCTCTCACGATTCTGTACATGTAAAATAAAGGTATGGTAAAGACAAACATATGGCACAACATCAATATTAATATTATGTGTAGGTCTACTGGTTTCTATAAATAATTCTATTCTACTTATAATAATTCTGATGTTGAATTATTATGTTTGAGATATATGCTTGCAATCTGTCATATTAGACAATTTTATTCACTGGTAAAATCAGACATTTGCTATTATCAGATTATATTCAACAATATATAGGCTAGAGTAGTTATACTGACATTGAAAACCTTTATTTTCAGGCACAATAGTGAGTTCGCTATGAAAGAAAAAACATGTCAAATGCTTGTCGTAGTCATAACTCTAAAATGTGATTTGATCATTTAAATGAAGTGCACACTTTCGGTTTCATTTTGACTGCTAAGTTCTTGTTCATACTTTGCGCGCGGCTCCCAAACGATCCCTCTGTGCCACAAACTGAATATTATTTACAACTGTATTACCTGTTACTCGCAACATATGCAGGTTCTGTTCACTAAAGTAGACTCGCGCACGTCTATTATTAAGTAGAGCACGCGCGCGCGCCCTCTCTGTGATATCAGCTCACGGTCAGCAGCTCAAGTCACGTGTGATTTCCCGGCCGCGAAAACATCATTATATGAAGACAAAAATGACATTTTTAGGTGAATTATACCTTATAAATACATTATGCGACTCATTCAACATCATTTGGAGGTGTCAATGTCACTGAGCAACGTGTGTGAAACAATGAAAAGACTCGTGCAGCCGCCTTTTCTTCTCTCCTGAACTTGAAAATATGATTGACAGAACCGTAGAAATGCTGGATTAAGATCGTCTAGGGGGTCGATTCGAAATCGTGATCTTTTAAAGATTAATTGTGCAGCTCTACCCTAAAGTAACAATCATATCAGGATTACTCAAGACCATCTAAGCCAGGAGTGTCCAAATTCGATCCAAAGTTTAGTTCCAACCCTAATCAGACACACCTGGACTAGCTAATCAAGCTCTAACTAGGCTTTCTAAAAACAACTTGCCTTAACACACCTGTAAGGATGAAGCTAAAAATCGGCAGGACACCGTCCCTCCAGGACCCAGTTTGGACACCCCTTATCTAAACCAAGCATCTCAAACTTAATTCCTGGACGGCCAAAGCTCTGCACAGTCTTACTCCAACCCTAATTAAACACAGCTGATCCAACTAATGGAGGCGTTCAAAAGAGTCTTAAACACCTCGATTAGTTGCATAAGCTGTGTTTGATTAGGGTTGGAGAAAAAATGTGCAGAGCTTTGGCCGTCCAGGATTTAAGTTTGAGAGCTACGATCTAGGCATTCAAGTAGAAGGCAGGTACCTTTGGCTCTGTGAGGCCATCAGCCTCTGAGACCTGGTAGGTGAGGTCGGTCTCCTCGAATCCCGTGGCACTCATGCGCTGGTCTGTTGAAGGGTCCGTACGGGGTGGAGAATCGGGGGAATTCAGGCAAGTCTGGATCAGGGCTTTACCCGTCTCACTGGTGATCATGGGTTGAAGTTTCCGCGTGGCAAATGTGTAGACGTGGCCCGTTTCACTGGCAACCAAGAGTAAAACTTGTGTCCCTGTCAGCGTAGAGAGTTCGTAGGCCTGGAAACATTGAGAAGAGAGAGAGATATCGATGACAGCTTTTATAGACTAGTTGGGGTTTCCTTCGAAAGAGGCACAAGATTGATAAGCTACTGCAAACTCATTCCTTGTAACCGTAAGGATACTTGAATATAAAATAAAGACTAAAACAGTCACAAATGTTGAGAAGAATATAAAAATAGAATCCTACAGTGCAGAGGATACTTGTGGTTAAAGAAGTACAGCGGCACAATATAGAATAAAATATTGTGTTTTTCTGTTATATATTTTTTGAATACAGTTTTATCAGATGAGGCTTTATTAGGAAAGAGGTCATCATTTTAGTTTGATTGGCATGATTCCAGGGAAGTGGATCCGCATATATTGAATCAAATCATAATTATAAAGGAATACAACTGAGCAAAGATTAAGGTACAGAAACTAAATGATCAAATACAGGGCTCAACAATAAGGACTGCCCGATGGCCCGGGGTCAACGTGTGAGATGCTCAGGACAGTCGACAGTATCGTTACTGGCCCGATTGGGCCACTAATGCCCTGTCACTATTAGTTTAATTTGCCTGTGACTATTTGTCAATTGCGTGCAAATACAGTCAGAATAGAGAAACCGTTTGTGTTTTTAAGCCTTCAAATGCTACCTTCTCGGTTCCTCTTATCTGATTGGATGTTGTGAGCATGTTATTTTTTTCCATAACAACCAGTACAGCTAAGAGACAGCAACATGGCGGCAACTTCGAGTGATGATGCTAAAGGAAAACATTTGTCTCTAACGTCTTGGAACCAGACATTTACGAGGGTACACCACAACTAAAAAAAAAATAAAGTGATGTTTTGTACAGTTTGCCGTTAGTTTGGCAGGTCAGTCATCTTTTGTTTTGCAAAAAAATACCTGCACATTTTGCTACTTTTGTTTGCAAAACACTTTATTAACATTTTTTAAATATTTAAATTCTATATTTACAAACATTTTGACTTTTTTTTTTATTTGTGGCTAAGAAATAGCTATTAACTTTTTTTGGTGGGGCCAGTGACAATATTGGCAGGGCAAGTAAAAATCTGAACCACTGGTCCGATCGGGCCAGTAGAAAAAAATCCTTAGCGTTGAACCCTGAAATATATAGCATAAAATTTATCGTATAAATAACTAAATTCACTTTTACTACAGGACTGTTAAATGTTTGAGTCTAATTGGCTGATGGGCATTCTATGATGTGCAGTTATTTTCAGATAATCACACAGCTGAGTTAGTATCAGGCAGGTTTTGAGTGCATTGCGGCTTCAAATCACTACACAGAATAATTTCAGTTATTTTCACAGCTACAACAGTCGAAAAATCACAACAAACACAACAGAAGGCTTTGCAAGATATGTGTAAGAAACTAGTGCTACATACAGGATCAGTCGGAGGATAAAAACCAGTCAAATGTCTTAAAATATATATATATATTTGAACAGTCTTTAGGCGTTAGAACCATCATAAATGTGGAATAATTGGTTCCAGTCCATTAACTTATTAGAAAACGATGCATACCTGCATTATTTTCCGATAAATCAATGGCCAATCATCAGTTATTCCTTACTGAATCTTTGTTAAAGCTACAAATGTCATAACAACATCATTTAAACTCACTTGAAATGCTCACAAGGTCACAGGCCTTTAAAAAAACACATGCAAACGACAGAACTTTTCTCTATTATAGTTCAACTTTGCAGTGACTCGACAAACCACATCAGTTCTGAAATGAAGTGCTGGTCAACAATAAATCTGACTCAACATTGCAATGTTGTAATAATTGTAACCTAATACATTGTGCAACCCCAGTAATGATGGTTAAACATTTTTGAAAAGGTGATGGCATGAGAGAGAGTTTTTTACTTTATTTAATTTATGCTATCTCATGGCAAAAAATAAAATAAAAAAATCAATCACAAAATGATCAATTTTAAGTTTTAGATCAATTTAATTGATCTTAAACTTAAATACATTTTCTTTTCTTGTAAATAATAAAAGTTGCGTCAGATTGATGAAAATGAACCTGAATACCTGAGTGAACAGGGCCACAATGGCTTTTTGTGTTTAATAATGAAATAATTGGATACAGTCACTGTCTTCTGTCTACATGACTGGCAAAGATGTCAGAAAAAAACTGCTGAATCTCGGCAATTATTTGGTTAACTAATAATAAAACAGTTTAGTGATGTTAGCAATGCATAGAAAAATGCAACACAGATCATAACCTGCTATTAAAAACAACAACAACAACAATGAATGTATGTTTTGAATTAATAAGAAGCTGTAATGTAGCCGTGGTGGGATGAATTTTGGTGGTGCGCGGCTCGCCATGGAAGAATGAATGTAGCGGAAACCATGCAATAGTAATTTATAGGGCTGCACGATTAATCATATTATTATCACCATAATGATATATGTGGCCCACGATTAATAGCTCATTAACACACTGATGACGGCCACTTTGTGATGGCTTTTAAGGTGGTCAATGGGATTTTTTGTCACCTTGGGAAGTTTGGACTAAACAGGAGCAAAAGCTACCTGATTAACAGTGCCTTGAAAAAACACTCGCCTCATGCTTGTAAAGCGGTACAATCCGTAAACTCCGGCCATTAAAATAACGGCTTGCTCTTTACACTGTAAAGTCGTGACGATATTATTAATCGTGGGCCACAAATATCATTATGGTGATAATAATATGATTAATCGTGCAGCCCTATAAATTACTATTGCATGGTTTCCGCTACATTCATTCTTCCATGGCGAGCCGCGCACCACCAAAATTCATCCCACCACGGCTACATTACAGCTTCTTATTCATTCAAAACATGCATTCATTGTTGTTGTTGTTGTTTTTAATAGCAGGTTATGATCGCACCAAAACGTATTAAAAGGTAAGTGAATTATAACAGTGCAAACTTCCTGTTACCGTAGTAGGGCTGTGCGTTATCTGTTTAACACTTTAAGGTGACGTGCTGACAGACTGATTGACTAACTGACAGATGCATGATGCGTGAGGCCAGCAAACACGATGCAGCTTTCAGTTATGATGAACACAGTTTCCATAATTATACTGTATTTATAGATAAAGGTCTGTGATTCTGGATACAAAGACTTTAACCTTATCTTGCTGGAGTTTACTGCCGTGTCACTTCACTTTACTTCAGGACACATTAATGCCGCTCTGTAGGTCTAATGGAGACAGTCAGAAATATTCCTAGCAAATTTAATAAATGTTGGAGCTTCAGCAGCGTATATTTAAGAGCGCACAAGAAGATCTGCGCTTGAGCAGCATGTTTGAGGGCGTGCAAGGAGTTTTGACAAGCAGAGAAAATCAGCGTGCAAGCAGAGATTTGCATGATCGTATTACGTAAATGTGTTCGCGACTTGTAATACCGCACTCACCACATTTCTCCATTTGTCATTAAAATAACGGCATAGGTAGTTGGTAGATTTGTGTAAAAGACCTGCCGCCACAGCTGGAAAAAAATCCTAGAGGAAACACTGCTATAGTATATTTTCATGTGGGTGTCTGACAGCTGAAAATTGATCTGGTAGCAGATATCACAGCCTCTGATAATCTTTACCTTGCACTTTTGTGCTAAAATTATGATAATTAATTTGTTTAGGATATGCATTTTCACATTCCGACTCCAATGCCTCATTATTAAACTGTTGAAATGACTAATTAAATGAAATATTCATAAGAATAGCATGTTATGTGTTCTTTGGAAGACTATACGTGTGTTATGCATATATAAATATATATATAAATATATATATATATATAAATATATATATATATATATATATATATATATATATATATACACACACATACATACATACGTATGTGTGTATATATATGTGTATGTATGTATGTATGTATGTATGTATGCATGCATGTATATATATATATATATATATATATATATATATATATATATATATATATATATATATATATATATATATATATATATACATACACGCACACACATGCACACATATGTATATATACATATATAAAATTTACCCTGGGAATTTTCATTAGTGCATTTTTGTTTTAAAACGACATTTAGGATATATATATATATATATATATATATATATATATATATATATATTGTCATTATATAACGAGTGGCATAAAATGGTCTAAAAATGACAATAATATCATTTATCGCGATATACTTTGGTGAAATATATTTTACAACAAAAAACAAATATTGTGGCAGGTCTACGAGGAGTATTTTCATTCCAAAATGCCGTTTTAAAACAAAAATGCATTCATGAAAATACACAGGGGCTAAATAACCCAATCGCATGCATCTGAAGGTTAGGTTTCTGCTCGACGTCTGCAACTGGGTTGGATCTCAAGATATGCAAATGTACTGTCAATGTCTAGGGCAGCGGTAACCTGATCAGGGCTATTTCTGCAGAGACAGGAATGAATGACAATTGAGCGAGCAATGACAAATGAGTCAGAGCAGATGTGGAAACTACCTTTAACTAGGAAACCGTCAAATCGGTCAAACCTCAGAGAACGTAGATGTGGTTCTGACTGAGTCGAAATGAGCAGGCGGTTTGAGTACATGCTAATGAGCGGCTCTGTGTGTTACACTAACTGCTGTGTGGTATAAGCAGTAGTAAAGTAGCATAAAATCCGGCAGAAGTGAAAGATGCAAGCATGTTACCTGGTTTTGCTATTGTTACAGTAAAACTACTAGTGCTAGTATTAATTCAGTGGTATTTATTAGAGTACAATAATGGTGAAAGCATAGTGTTTAGCATTAGCATTGGTATAGTAAGAACTTCAGTGACAGTAATACAGCTTGCATTGCACAATAAGTACATTAATAGGGTAATGATCCAATATTAGCAGGATGATATTGCCCCTTATAGTACTGTTAATGAAACAATTAGACAATAACAAGAACTGAACTGTATTAGTATGATGCAATAATAGATACTGAAGTTACTAACAGTC